TGGGCCCCTAAACTGTTTGTTTGGCGCCCTCTTCAGGTGATAAGCAATACCGATCATTGGTAATTTAGATAATTCAAAATTTTCTCCATTTTAAAGGTTAATAATAAAAAAGGAAATTCAACAAAATTGAATAAAAAAAAAAAAGACAAGTGTTCATCATCTATCTAGTCTAGTTCAAGGATTTGATGTTAGTTTTTCTGTCTTTCCGTCACGTGACCTAAAAAATTTTTGGAAAATCAGGTTAATATAGATGAAATCAAAAAAGGAAATTAAAAAAATGGACTTCATGGAGGGTAACGTGTGCCGTCTGTTTGCAGGATGGTGAACACGTGTCTGGCGGAGGAGCTGAAGGAAATCCATGCGTTTGAACAGAAGACCCTGACGCCAGAGCAGTGGGACAAACAGAAGCTACAGTGACTCATTTCCTCTTAGAGCCTTGAAAGTTTGGGAACATTGAAGGTTAAAGTGCTCCAGTCATCTTGTTGCTGCTACTAGTGCAAATAAAAAATAAATTCCTCCCCTGTCTTTGGATGAATCCTTTGTTTTTATCTTACAGTGAAGAGAACAATAAATGCTTTATCGATGCTGCGTCAGCGGCATGACCAGTTAGGTGGGTTAGCTTCCCAGCACTGCACTGGTAATCAGAAGAAAGTCACATCAGAAAAACATTTAATGTAATTTTAATATAAAACTTTATTTCTTTGCAAACCTTAAAAAAGTAAAGCGAATCTTCTTCTAATTTCTGCTGGAAGAAACTTGGAAGGTCAAATTTGCTGGAAATGTTTGTTTCTCCTGAATGTTTTGCCTTAAATGTAAAAAGGCCTGAACTTATAAAGCGCTTTGTTCAAGTCTCCTGACCTGACATTACATCCAGTCATTCACTGCCGCTGTAGGTACCAGATTGACTCGGGGGCCTGCGCCTTTTGATGACGTCACAATACATAATTGTTTTAACGTTTGCACAATGGCGCAAAACATTTTGATTGGTCTGGACAGCTTACTAAAGTAATTATAGCGGGGTGTANGATTACTCAATTTATTCACCTGCTGTGCCCTCCCCGCTCTCTAATTATCATTTATCTTATTCACCTACTTTCTCTGGTATATATAAGACGTTTATAAATTACCGCATGTGGTCTGTCGACAGTGTTTAAACGTCACTTGCACTGCTTCTCCTGTTACCCCGAAATCCCAAATCAGTAGCTTCTCAGATTACTCAATTTATTCACCTGCTGTGCCCTCCCCGCTCTCTAATTATCATTTATCTTATTCACCTACTTTCTCTGGTATATATAAGACGTTTATAAATTACCGCATGTGGTCTGTCGACAGTGTTTAAACTTGTGCCGCTTATCCTGTTACCCCGAAATCCCACATCCTCCGTTCTGCTCCGCCTCGCAGCGCTCCAGACCACTTGCGCAAAAGCAAAGCCTACAGCCTCCGCTGTTCCTCCCGTATTGCCTCAATCCGACTTACCCTTGGAGCTCAGGGAGAGCATGCGCGATACTATCATTAAATTCGTAAGCAGCAAAACATGCAGAAATGAACGCTTAATTTAATATGAGATATTAAAAAATTCCCCATCAGCATCCAGCATATGTGCAGTTTCTGATGGAGATGAGAAATCTGCTTCCTGGTCTGTTGAAGTATCAATAGTTTTCCTCCAATCTTTTAAATAAACAGTGTTAGTTTTTTAAAATATATAAGAATTATGCTCTAATTTGTAGTTACCGGTCTGTTGTTATCATATTTTAATTTGACAAACCGGATCTTCTCGCAGTTCTTTTTCCTGTTTGTTGGATTGAATAGCGGATCTTGACCTGTCCTGACCGGAGTGGAGCCTGCATATTTTGAGTATGTTTGGCTCAAGCTACTACTGTGAAGCAGGATTTTCTATGATGAACTTAATCAAAAAAATATATAAATTTAGGCTCACATATCAGCTCTTTGATATGTACTTGAGAATGGCTTTGTTGCCATTCAAACCCAGGTTTAAATCCTTGCAGGGCAGCATAAGGCCGACTGCTCTCATTAAGCCAGAAAAAAAAAACAAAAAAAAGAAACAGTTCATGTGATTCAGGAAGAAATCTATATACCAAACTGAAAGACTGTTGTTCTCTAGTTCAAAAAGCACTTTAGATTTTAAAATGGAAAAATGTTTTATATATATATATATGTATATATATATATATATATATATATATTTTTTTTTTATTTAAAAATTTCAGTGTATAACATAAATGTATAAACATTTGATTTTATTTCAGTGTTACATTCTGTTTAAAGTAACAGATTATTAAAAATTCTCCAAACTTTTAGTGGTTCATAATTTTCTTTATTCGGACCCCGCTGATATTTAATTGCTTACCCCTGGTCTATAGCATGGATATAGCTGGAGTCTTTATATGTATCATATACATGAAATATAGATGTACACGTACATATAGATGGTTTAATCTGTTTGTAATTATATTAAAACCACTGACCTCTATTTAATTTCTGGATATCTGATTGTCCAAAGACCTGAAGTAACTTGCCGCCATCTTGATACTCCCTATTCTCACGGAGTTGTACCATAAAAATTCTAACGTGTGTAGCATTTGGCCTCAACAACAAGCAGTTTTCTGGCTCTGGGAAAACGTTTCACAGGTAAATTTTATCGTCAGTGGATATACTAACAGTATCATACTATATCGACGAAACAAAACAACTTCAAAATTGTATCCATATATATATATATATATATATATATACATATATATAAATATATAAATGGATACAATTTTGAAGTTTTTTATTTTACATATATAGGTATATATTATATTGGGAAAAAAAGTATTCAACTATTCACCCAAATTAAAAAAAATCTTTGCAAAGAGAGAACAGTTCATCACAGTAATCAGCCCTGTTCTGACTAGACAGAGTTTGTCTCCCTTACTTATGTTGATGAAAAAGCTGTGAAACTTGTGTCAGAGTGAAAACAAATTAGCCATACTTTAACCGGCCTTGAAAAACAATTTGGCTTGTTGAGGGAATAAGTATGTTTTGTCTAAAACCACCACTCCATCAGACAAAATAATTTTTGCCTGCGAGTGAGTCTAGCCTCGGACAATGCCCCATACTAATACTTGTACTTTCTTTTCTATTGCGAAACTAATATCAAACATTCAGATCGCTAAAAAAAAATATCCACCTTTCATTAAAACACAACAAATTTTCCACTTCTCAATTATGTTGTTTAATTCCACAACCAGAAAGCCAAAGCTGATGTCAGGCACCTTCAGGTGGGTGTCTTCGTCTTTCTGCTGATGTTGGTCTCTTACAGGGGACATTTTGAACGTTCTATGCAGAACAGCTGGTCTACAACACATCAGGTGGACTACTGATGTCTTTCAGGGGACAATGCTGCCCCTTTATTCTGATTTGTTTTGTTGAAGCTTTTCCTGGTTCCTTCCTGATGAGGTCAGATTGTTGGGATCTGGAGGTCTGTCCCCCTTCCTCCAGCAGAGGGTGCCCCTTGGTCTCCTGGGGCTGAGCTGAGGACCACACATGAGATCCATCAGTCATCAGGAGATCAGCTTTATAAGCAGCGACTGAGCTTCCCTTCCTTGCCAGAGTGCTGAATAAGTTATGGTAGCCTACCTGAGCCAACCAGTCTGTCTGACTCTCTGACTCCTCTGAAACCTAGAACCAGATCCTGATCAGTTTTATGTCCTCTCTGTTCTTCTAGGAAGATCCTGACCGAAACCTGGAGCTCTGGTGGAGCTCATGTTTGAGAAACCTGCCTGCCTGCTCTGAGAACCCTAAACTGAAGAACCTCAGCCTGCATCTTCCTGCCAGTTCTCTGGAGAGAACTTGGAGACCCACTCTAGGGCTGAGCCACACAACTCAGAAGCCAGTTCCTGCCGCTGCTAAGCCCTCTGCAAATCCTCTGTCTCTGAACTCAACCGGTACTCTCCCTCTGACGCTTAGCCTGAAGCTCTGGACAGAAGATCTTGTGTTTCCAGTCCCGCTCCTGTTTCCAAAACCTGTCTGAACCTCGTGTTTTCCAATAAACAGTTAAACTTTCCTCCTGATTCAGAGTGTGTTCTGCATGTGGGCTAAGAACCTAAAACCCATCATGACACAGATGAGTTCAGATGAGCTTTGATCCCTTTCTTTTGATGACTGGGAGCCATACCTTCTTATGCTGAAGGATGGCTAAGATGTTCCTCCAAGAGTGTCTCCAGGCACCTCGGTCTGCCTGTAAAGCCGTCTCTAACATAGGGAGGAAAAAGGTCTTGTAGGTTTTTACCAAGAGTCTGAATTAAAGGTACACTATGCAACCGGTGTTGATTTTCCAGCGAGGCTCCC